GAACATGAGTTGTATCCTCCGAACACGGGTCAGAAAATCATCCAGCCACATCAAAGCTCCGCGAACGTGGCTTACTCTATATCGCTGGCCTGTTTATCTATCCTCAGCCCAGCGGTGTGGAACTCTGTTTGTGATCAAACATCGAAGGCCTTCTCCAACGAAATGGCGCTGATAATCGTGAGTCACCTCAATATCAACAGATAAACATTTCTGATTCGTTCACCTAAGCCTGCGAACGTGTACGGGCGCGGGAACGCTCCCTCCTGCGGTCGGACTCATCCGGTGTGCGGGAAGTTTTTTGACGTTCGTCTCCTTTTTTTTTTTTGCGTCGGGCGGAAATCCTTCCTTGTCCGGTGTGGGGGAAACCTCCGTCATTAGGATCAAACAATTCAGTCTGACGCCTTCCATAGTCAAGCCGTTATCTTTCTTCTTTCTGGGATTGCAACTTCCACCCGATCAGGTCGACTTCAACATTCATTCCAGCTTGATCGCGAGAAGACAGATGATAGATCGCAAGAAAATAACAACGAACAAAAAAATGTTGAACATCAATCATCCTGCCAATTTGACACGGAGATTAAATCCCGAAAGCCTGTGTCCGTGGTTGGAAAATATTTTTGTCAGGCGTCAGTCGTAAGAGGAAAATTCTTCTACGGGGGCGTTCAAAAAAAGAAAATTGCATCAATCTATGCAATTGATCGCCGCATCCGAGCCCTGGACCTACACACCCGCACGCGACGAACGTTCAACGCCGTCTACCCTCATGACGTTCCGACTCCGAACGCTGAACGCCGAATCCTAATCAGGCGTGAACGTTCGCCAAGTACTTCTTTGGATTGGTCTCGTCGGTTCTCCCATAACACTCTCTTTTCCCCCCGGACACTTCGCTGTGGACCCACACACGCGGCGAACGTGTCTCGGGCTTAACGGAGGCGCGTTGGTTGAAAATTTACAAGCCTACAGTATCAGATCCCATGTTGAATCTTCGATTTCTATTGGCAATGTGGACCCACATTGACCCACCCAATCGCTTCTACGAGAAAGTTATACCCAGCGAACGTTTCTTCGGATTACAGAAGGAACGAGGTTGGTGAAAAAACCAACGGGGCTGTTAAAAAACTCTCATGGATCTCAACATTCTGTTCAACACACGGTGCATGTTTACTTCAGCTTCGACCGAGGAGCTTCATCCCTGGACTCACCCATCCACGCAAGCATCATTTACGGGATACTGGATACTTTCATCCGACATATCCGGCGAACGTGCATCGAATCCGGCCAGTGAGAGCGTGGAACAAGAGAATTTCTCGACACTTCAACTTTGTTTGACCGGCATATGTTTAACAATCAGCTTCTGCGCCATGTCAGATTAACATCTCTTCCCGGATGCCTGCAGGCAGTATAACCGGCCAACGTGTCTCTGGGGAGCCTATCGATTTACTTTATTCGACGTGGTTCAAAGCGAGGCTATGTTTAATCTTCTGTTCAACTTCTGACTCGGGGATTCTCTTCTGCTGGGGTATGGCGCTTCCCCATGGATCCACAGTGGTGCTTCTATTCGTGTAGTTTGGTTGCATGCGGCGAACGTGCCTCGGATGGGTCCGTTGATTTCACTCCGGTTTTCTGATTATTCAACCATGCTTGGTTCAACTTAAATAATTCAACCACATTGACTTTAGGAACTTAATTCGGCTCTTGTGAAGCACAAAGTGCCATTTACTGCACGCCCTTGCGTGAAGCTACTACTTGAACAGGTTGAACGTGGCTCGGGTGGGGGCGTTGATTGGTTTCGTTACTCCTCCCAGTTACGGTATGTCGTTATTTTATTACTCACTTACACGTACTCGTTTTGTCAATCTGTCTGTCATCCATGAAGCAGTGCAAACTGTACGCGTTCCTTGATTCGCGGCATCCGTGCAAGTGTCAATGTGTATCATACGCGTTATTTCAGCAGCTGCGTCGTTTCGGCAACTCTATTTCGGTAAGTTTCTGGGCTGTTTTTGTTATCCTGCTTACCGAATTTAAATTGTTCAAATCCCGGAATTTTACGGGTGTATCCCGCTCGCATTCTTCGCCGAGTGATTGATTGGTGCATCCCACTTTTTAGCTCGTAGGACGCGGGATTTCCAAATATTCTTGTCAGTTAGTCAACATACACCAGCGTAAAAGGGGACACCAATTCAGCGCCGTCGCCCCATTTTCCGAACTTCCCGTCGTGTCGGGAACTTTTCGAGCGAAGGCGATATCCCTATCCCGAGCTATTTACAGTCTTCCATGGCTAAGCACGGTGAGGATATTTTAAACAGAAATTGTACAGCAGCCATCTGCTGCTTAACTTGGACCAAGGAGATATATCATTACTGCGGGTGTCAGTCGTGGCGGGCGGGAGTGAATGCGAGATCACCGAACTGAACTTCGGTTTCATAATTGGAAGTATTTACGGAACGAGATCACGGAAGTAAATACGGATTCGGGATGGAAGAAGATGGAAGATCGCATATAAAAGTACGGAATGTGAGTTCGCCGGGGCGACCGGTACCACTATACAGTAAAAGATACCGATAATTCCGGGAATACTGCTGTCGGAAATGCGAGAGAACATGTTTCTTCCGTGGCCGGGAAATGGGATGCCCATTTGCGCTGATAAATTCTTTGAACCATTGAACCTGGTTGAAATTTAACATTTCAGTCACAAAAATGAACTGCGCATATCACAAGGTTGGATGAGGAGGTTGATCGATCCGCTCGTACACTAGCAGGCGATGGGAACTAGAACGACACGCGTAACCCCGTCAGCCTAATTTCTGGTCTCGTGTCCTCGGTGCCCGACGCGCAAATTACGCGTCGCCGGCTTCGTCCTGCTTACCTCCCACTCCCGAGGGTTGAACTCCGCGTCCTTACGGCACACACCAAATCCTTGATTCGAATAAAATGCGGTTCAACTACCCGCAGAGCCGCAACATTGGTTGAGCAAGATTCGATTGATACTTTAGGTCCGTCCGTCCATCAGGCGACTGCAGGTGTTTTATTTGAATCACTTATGCAGCGAATGAGGTGGATTGGTAGGATCAGTCGGCGCCAACGCGCACTGCAGTGAGTCACGCCAAGAAGGCTTGGACTTGGTAGCTTACCGAAATGCGGTGATTTAATCTACCTGTCCTGGGTCGGTAGAGGGGTGGGGTTGCGCAGATGTACTGTGCCTGCAGGACAGGGCAGTGGGGCAGAGAAGACGACCGACGGACAGGCGGTTGAAGGACGGGTCCGAGGGCGTTGACTGGGTGGAGTAGTTCTTTCTAAGCTTGGCGTGATGATGTTTAACTTGTTGAGGTCGAAAAAAATCTTTGAGTTGCATTGTCAACGCGCCAGCCTCATGAAATTCCAAGCCTCCCAGATCTCATCGTTCCAGGGAAGTAAAACATACATACCGCGCTGAAACCCGGCTCCGCAAAGCCTATCTCTCCCCTTCTAAGCTTCAAGCTCCCAGTCGGGCAACTCAGATTACCTTCCGCCAACACTTGGCGTGTCTATAGCGAGTCTATTTGTTCGTCGCCGTCAGATAGACAACATACCAAATTAAGCCACGTAGTCTAGATTGGTTGACCGTGGGCGGCCACCTGACACCCTCACCGGTTTTGGACGATTGAACTTGCAGATGTGACAGTGTCAATCACCGACCGTCGCCGGCCGTTCACTGAACCTTTTGTTGATGTGCGAATCTTCATCCAGTATGCAGACGGCGTTCATCGTGTTGAGACGAGATTCAGATCAGTCAGAACAGAACTCGCGATCCGTCCACAGGTGTTCGGTTTAGGGGAACACCGTCGATCCTGTGGTCATGATCGGCGCTGTCATGCGAGGAAAAGATAGGGGCCCACGTTGAGTTGAAAGTCAGTGCGATGAGTGGATGAATTGGGAATACCGCTGGGTGAGACACAACATCGAATTGGCTATTTCTGAAGCGAAAAGGCCGAATTTCACCGCACCAAACAAAAGATAAACCGGAAAAGAAATCCTCGGGTCAGACATTCCCATCCGTTCAGGGCAACGATTTGGTCAATCAAACCTTTCTGCTTGAGTGGGCGAAAACGCATCTTGTGGGAAGTGGCCGCTCTACATCACTCGGAGCCGGTGTAAATCCGCCGCCGCCGCAGCCGGTACCGGGCAATCGTCACATTTGAGGTTTCAACCGGCGTTTAATTGAATTGAGGGCAGTCGGTGTTAATCCTGTCCAGGCTACCAGTGAAAAAGGCGGGCGGGGATATAATATCGGGAAGCAACCGCGGAGCGGAGCTACGCTGAACCGATGAATACTTCAGAAAGCGTGAGTGCGGAAATAGACAGGCAGCTGGAATATTTCAGCAAGGTGTCGAAATGGAAATGGGGTTCTTCCGCCTCCACTTGGGAGTACTACTGCTTCCATACTTACTTTGTTCGACGCATCTCGAATGAGTCTGGCAGCCTCCATTTCCTGACAGAATTGTTCAACTTTTGTCGTTCCATCGGTTGATGCCAACGTCCGGGATTGAACAAGATTGGCAGGCAGAGAGTCCAGCTGAGGAGATTGGCGCCGCTGTTGACTCGGTGAGGAAGTTCCGGCCGTTGAACTGGCTCCATTTCACGTCGTGTTGAATGGCGGAATGAGATGAGCAGAATAGGACCAGGATATAATCGGGCCGTACCCCAACGCTCAGGAGCCGATTCACCTACCTCAGGGTAGTAGATATAACGGTATGCGCAGTCGAGTGCGCGCTTTTAGCTACTGCAGCAGAGGGCGGCAGACCCACTGCCACCCTTTCATGTGAGCTGCGAGAAGGTTCCTTTGCACTGCCCTCCGGATGCAGGAGCAATAATGGCGCACTACCCGTAAGGAAGAGAGCCAGGGAGCAGTTGAAATTGGGGGATGGTGGCAGCTTGAAGGAAGGAACAAAGATTGATGATGGTGATGAGAAATCACGGAAATCATCCGAAAAAGATGTTTCAACGAAAAAGAAACAAAAGGATTCCCGCTAGCTGATTTGAACAACTGACCTCGTCATGCGCATTGAAGCATACTAGTGACGCGCTCTACCAACTGAGCTAAGAGGGACTTATTGTTTGTAGCCAACAGTACAATCACCATCACCGAAGAGATCACACCCACCGCAATTAAATCAAACACTCGTACATCGTTCCGCGCCTACCAACTGAGCTAAGAGGGACTTATTGTTTGTGGTCAACAGTACAATCACCATCACCGAAGAGATCACACCCACTCTCAACCACACCGCAATTGAACGTCCTGTGGATTCATGGGAAGGATACCCCTAAGCCAACGCTTGGGTAGATACTCGTGTACATTGATGTTTGTGGCCAACAGTACAATCACCATCACCGAAGAGATCACACCCACCGCAATTAAATCAAACACTCGTACGTCGTTCCGCGCCTACCAACTTGATGAAAAGATGCAAAGGCTAATCAGGAGCCCATTGTTCGTACCCCTAATCCATCCTGCAGATGCATGGGATGCATACTCCTAACATACAATGTTCTTTGTGAGCCACAACACGATCACCATCACCCAAGGGAACCCACTGAAATCAAACACTCGCACATCGATCCACGCCTACCAACTCGATAAAAAGGCCAAGTACGGATTAAGAGCTGTACCCGCAGCGTCGATGTCTCTGACTCAAGGACCAGCATAAGGTAATGAGAATCCAAATCAACATAACCCCATAACTAGGAAGCACCACCTCCTTGGAGAACATGTAACGTTTCAACGTGCCTGAAAAATCATCCCAAAGCGACCTCCACCCTGTGGATCCCGAGAAGTTAGTTGAAAGTTAGAACACTGTGTTACATAAGACAGATCCACCAAGAACCATTAGAAAAACAGACTGTTACAAGCAACAGGTAACCAGAATACAAGCAGAAATCCAGGTGGATGTTATCAAACATGCACACCCCCCTCCCCCACGAGCCTCAGAGACAAGGTTTTTAAGGAAATTCCCTAATCAGGACGCGGGCGTTGAGCGATCTTCTCGAATCAGCAAGCACAAGTAATGATCGATCACCCAGTTTGCCAAACAACAACAAATCACCCCTCTCAACTCAGCAACCCGATCAACGATGTGATCGACTTCGGATCGAGTCAGGATGTTTCCTTGGCTCTCCTGCCCCCTTTTCTCGTCTATGGCAACACGGACAGGACAGCTTCGGTTTTTGGAGCCGGCCGTGATCCCATCGTGATCGGTGAGTTTATTTGAATGCTGGGACCCCAGACACACATGTCTAGATATAGCCACGCCATATTGCCGGTACTACATACGAGTTGAATGTAACCTAACAGCAACGGATGTGCGCCAAATTCATATGCCATGTGCGATGGGACAAATATATTTAGCAGGATACCAGTGCTCATTGCGTACTGGGGCCGCCGGGCGCAAAGTTCTCTCGGGCGTTTCCGCAAAACTTTCTCACGGTTGCATATGTGGTTCTTGTGTATTGTTTTACACAAGAGCCCGGATGAGCACACCATTTATGATTTGGACGCCATTAAAAACAAACCCACCCTTTGGCAGAATTCCAACCACCCCGGCGTTGAAACTGATCGTAGAGGATCCTGTCACCACATCCTCTGCACAAGCATTGTTGGATGTATTATTTCACCCCGGACACCGGCGTGTACATGATGAACGCCTCTGGTGGGTTGCACACATTTCCATGGGAATACTATCACATCAAGAGCACAAACTGGAAGCAAAACACGCCACATGTATCTGTGGTGCCCCCATGGCGGAGCAACCTCACTATTACAGTATGTGGTGTTCCTGACCATGCCTCAGGATCCGTGCACGTCTGTGACTGCGAACAGAAAATCTCCGCCAAGGCTTGACTGATGAGAATCGAGCTTGTATGTTGCAGAGTATTTGCAGACAAGGTGACTGAACTCTTCTGCATGAGAGAAAAATCCGGGTTGGTCATGGAAAGGTTTCTCAGGAAAAACGATCCACATCCCTGCAATTTTTGTGAGGGTCTTGCAAGACTGGGGTAAGTAAATAGCCTATATCTGCGACCAGGCAACCAGTTAGTTATCCACAGCAATGAATAATAGATTTTAGCCCCTATATTTCGGATGTGTATGCATCACATGGTTTAAAATTCCGCAAAGGATCAAATCGAACTTGCCCGAGATGCCCGAGACAGGTGGTATATCCTGCTGCAAAGTACTAGTGTTGATCCACAGGTGCAGTGGTGAGCCAACTTGGAGATCTGTTTTCAGTACTGGCGAATTCCATGAAGTAAGTGTCCCTTGCAATACCATTTCAGGTTCAATCTATGGAATTATTTAAATTCTGGCTCGGTACATGATTTCAGTTTGCAGGACGCGTCTGCGGCTGGCTCTACGTTATTATCCAGTACTCTCCTATGCAATAGAGTGCATTAAGTGGGGTTGAATGAAGTTGGGGCCAACAACACAACTATCAATTTTTTGGTTCACCTACCACGGTTCCATCGGGCATCGAGATTGAAAAAATTTGAGGCGGGTGTCATCTATTTGAGCAAGGACTTATGAATGTGTATGCGGTGAAGGAAATAGCGAAAGAAGGTTTTCGGCAGGGCCATCATCTTTGAATCGATTACGAATCCACGATGGGTTTGACTCCGGGCCGCAATGCGGCCTCCCTTGGGCCTTTATATCCAGGATTTTTCCGCGGTGCAGTGGGGTATCATGGTTAGCAGCAGCGGTCGGTGAGACGGAAATTACAACATTGAATGGATGCCACGAGGCTATAGCCCAGTATCACAGCTCTTTCCTGCTGCTTCCAGATACCACCTGTTCTGCTGCTGTTGCTAGTGTCTCCAGCAGTAACACATCATTTTGTTCCAGTGCCTTTCCGATTATCGAGACAAAATCCACGATGCCGATCACTAATAGCTGAGGTGGAGCTGAGTTGAGGTGGAGTTTGGTTGAAGAGAAAAAAAACTTCACCGGTGCTAAGAACTGTAAAGCTTCGAATGTATGCCAATTTCTGTTGATAGACCGTAATGAGGAGCACACCAACATAGCCGGAACGGCTTGAACTCGCCAGCAATACTAGGCTTCTGAGCCGGGCTAATCATCAGTTTCTGAGACTCTTATTTTGTTTCTGGTGCCGTGATCCAACTTATTGCCTCTGTTGATCTCGACATGAATGATGATGTTAAATTTGGTGTTTCGTTGAAATCAACTTCCGAATTCCAAAGCTACATACTTGCAAGTCAGGTTTTGTATGATCTATAGAACTAGGGCTGTCCTAAATTTCCCGGCGGAGACCTCGTATACAACATGTAATTTATTCAATAGATGTTTACAACCTTGTGTAATATCGGGTACATATGACCATGAGCTGGCTAGCATCGGAACCAGTGCGCCAATGAAACACCACACACCCACCGACAGTTTATTTTCAAGCGTAGTCTGGTCAGTCTCAACAACAACCAAGGTACTTGAGCAAAGGACAGACCTAACAAAACTTTAAACTGACAATCATATGTCAGTAAACCCGGACCACGAGTTGCTGATTACTGTAACAGTGAAAGAGATTGGAGTGAAGCTGTATCATGCTCCGCACTTGTTATATCCATGCACATTGACCTTCCGTCCGTACCGGAAGCTCCGGCCTTCGGAGCGTCCGGTCTTTCGGAAACTGTCGGTCCGCCTTCGGACCGACTTGGCTGATCGGGTTTTCACGCAATGAAGGATTACTGAGCGTTTCCCGTTTATCCGTTATCTATCTCATCCATCTGTCTTCTCCGTCTCCGTATGTACTTCGCTTTGTTATATTCAAGTCCCGCTTTTGGTAGTCGCTTTGTCTTACCATATTAGGATATTGATCTTCAACTACTATATAAACCTTATGTACTATGCCTGTATTCTTCAGTTTGATTATTAACGTGCTTTGCTCCTCGCTCTGCTCTGAGTCGTTCCGGCTTCACCGGAACTTCCGACTTCCTACTTCGTCCCCTTCAGCACGGGTAGTACGCACACCCTTATCTTCCTGTGGTGCTTGCGCTATATCTACTGACTTCCGCTCTTCCGTCCTTCCGGTCTTCTCGGAACTTCGGATCACTTCCCCACGTCGGCTCGGTATATAACAGCACTCCGAATACATCACAGGCAAAGCAGGCAGAAAAGAGGGAAACAATTGAGATATTCAATTGGCAGGTTGAATCTGACTGAAGAAGAAAGCAGTTGCACATGCCCCCGAAAGCAACACAAGATGAATCTGAATCTCTGCGGGTGCAGGCTAGAATCAAAAGCTGCATCGGGCGCTTATATTCATCTCGAATTCAACCGACGCTATGCCTGGAGCTTTGTTATTGTTAGTGAACTGCATCAGTTTGTGAGTCGGTGATTCAATACACCTGGGAAAAGTCACCTACTGGGTGGAATAATATCCATATCTTGTTTCAAGTTGAACGATTGACAATTGAACTTCGAGAAACCATTTCCTCGGCTCAGGGGAATCTTATTTTCCCCCGACATATTAATGCCCTGGCCCTTGCCTGGCCCGAGAGACTCGTGAATAATGGGGTAAAATTGGGGAGGCAGGAAACAAACACATCGACTCGCAGAGGAACAACGGATCAGGGTATTCCTGAAATGCCCTGAGTTTAATCTTCCGCTAGGGTTATTGGTGTTAGGTCGCAACAAAGAAGAGATGTATAGCACACACCATCATGTTCGGATTCAAAGTGGCAAAGCCTGACTCAGTAGTTCAGAAAGAGGACAAGTCAGTGGGACTGCGGAAGAAATTTCTGGTCACCTGATGGGAGTTGTTGCAATAGGGGAAGTCAAAGCCCTCCACAAGGGCTGATTCTGCCACCGATTCTGAACCCGATTCTTGCCAGATTCTACAGAATGAATCGGTTGAGAATCGGGACAACTTTGACCGGTGTTGATTCTGAGGTCTCGGAAACGGATGCCATGAGAATCGAAATTCAGAATCGCCGATTCTGATGTAGTTCCTCCTCCGGAGTAGGAACACTGATTCACGCCGATTCTGGATAATCACCGATTCTTGATCGATTCTGGAGTCAAGAATCGGCCTCAGAATCGGT